TATTGTCAAAAAACGAGAAACAACTAAAGTGAAAAACAAGAAACATAAAAATAAAAAGTAAAAAATACAGAAACATGCAGATTAATTGAAAGAGGTCTTCTATTTTGTAACTACCATTTTAACACATTTCGGTCAATAATAGTGACCAAAATATTCACAAAATTTATTGTTTTAATTCAGTCAAATATTTTGATCGAAATATTACTTAATTTAGTCAAAATATTTGACCGAACAATTATTCTCAATCAACAAAAAAAAAAAAAACTCGATTTTAATTCAGTTAGAGAGTTTGACCAAACTAGTTTTGCAAATTAGTTCAGTCATGAAGCTTGACCGAAATAAGGGTTAAAAAAAAGATTAAAAAAACCATTGATATTCACCTTTGAATTGATGAAAATTTTTGAATTGTCCACTACATTTAATTCAGTTAGAATTAGTGGTCAAATTAATTTTTGCTCCTTGCCTTCTCTTTCAAATTTTTGCCGAAAAAAGTTTGAATTTTTTGCCTTCTTATTTCAGTCAATTTTACTCATCGAAATAGTATTAAGCCTATATATACATCAACCTAGTCTCTTCTTATCACTTCTCTAACTTCTTTTTCATTTTTTTCTTCCCTCTCCGACATCATTCTTTCTTCCTTCTCCGGCTTCATTCTTTCTTCCATGTCCAGCTTGATCCCTTACTTCTAACTTTCAATAAGTCTCTTTCAATTTTCACTACTTCTTCATCTCTTCATCTTTCTTCTTTTTATTATTCATCACAACTCTTATTATTATTATTTTTTAAAACTTTTATTCATGTTCTTCACACACCAAAACTAGCGCTAATTCCTTCTTTACCATCTTTTTTACTTTCACTTTTTTAATTTTGTTAATGTAAAATTGTATTTATTTTCTCTAATCTTTTGTTTTTGATTGTTTTAATTAAATACTAATGATTTAATTTTTCATTTTCAAGGTTTTTTAACTTGGTGAAGAATGAGACAACCTTTTGGAGGTAATTTTGTAACATGATTCAATTTTCATCCTCAAATTTTTTTTTTTATATTTAGTTATTTTATTTGCATGTTTTAATTTGTATGTTTTAATTTGTGATTATACATATCATTTTGACTTATTTTTGTAATTATGTTGGATTCATTTGCCAAATGTTAAGCATTTTTCAGTTCTTTTACTTTTTTAAATATATTTAGAAATTTAGTCATAATTATTAGTAAATAAGTATACTAATAATTAAAATCTATATACAAATCAATAAATTAAGTAAATAAGAATTATATATAACTGTTGATGCTAAAATAATGATTTAATTTTTCATTTTCACGGTTCTTTAACTTGGTGAAGAATGGGACAGCCTTTTGGAGGTAATTTTGTAACATGATTCAATTTTTATCCTCAAATTTTTATTTTTTTATATATGTTTAGTCATTTTATTTGCATGTTTTAATTTATATTTTTTATTTATGATTATATATATCATTTTAACTTATTTTTGTAATTATGTTCGACTCCTTTGCCAAATGTTAAGCATTTTTCTGTTCTCTTAATAAGGTGACTTTTGCTAAAATTTATTATTTTATATTTTGTAGGATTTTGATGAATTTGAATCAAATAGATTGAGTAGATATAGATCAAAGTTACATAGGTACTTGGAAGAGAGGGGATTGCCTCGTTCAAAAATCATTGGATATTCTTGATTGGTCGAGAAAAAATGAATATCAATATCCAAGATTGGCTATTATGGTAAAGGATATTTTATCAATATCTATTACTACTATAGCTTCTAAATCCACTTTCAACAAAGGTGGTAGAGTTTTAACCAAATTGAGAGGTAGTCTAACACTTGAAAATGCTGAAGTTTTGATAACAACTCGGAGTTGATTAGTTGGAGATAATACACATTCTTTATTTTTATTCTTTTTCACATATATAATATATGTATACTTATATATATATCTATATATTAATATTTACTTTGTTAAGTTAATTTTTTGACAACATGAATTACTAGATGCAATTGAGGATCCAGAAGAAGGTGGAATGACGGGATTGGAGTTTCAATTGTGTGTTGGCATTGACACAACCACTAGACTTGCAAGTCTTTAGTTCTTGATTTTGTTAATAGGTAATAGGTTTGTATTTTTTGTATAAAGCCTTTCTAACTATGAAACTAACACTAAATACCTTTTAAACTCTAATATTGAATATGACAATATTTTTTGTATAATGCCCTTCTAAATGTTGAATAGGATTGTATTTTTTGTATAAGGCCCTTATAAATATTAAATAGACACTAGATATTACCATATTTGTTCTTTTTGTCTTTTCAACTCTAAATCCTTTATGTCTCTTCTTTTAATAGAGGTTAATACCTTTATAAAATTATAAATTCTAAATATTGTATAGACATTATTTATTTGATATATATTTTAGTTCCATTTATGTAATTCAATAATCTTGCCAACTTTTTTCATGAGATTGGAATAAAAACTACATCGTCAAACAAAAATTAGAATTGGTATTTGTTTAATAGATTTTTTTGACTAAATACTTAATTAACGTTAGATTTTTTAAAAGAAAAATAGAAAAAATTTTGGAAAAATTTTAATTTTAATCTTTTAAAAAGTTGGGTCCATCCAACTCAATCCAATACCCATATGGATGGGTTATGGGTTTACCACTTTAACCCAATACCCGAAATAACCCAATCCGAAAAACCCGAGATTTGAGATGATCCAATCTTAACCCACCCAGTCCGACCTGTTTGCCAAGTCTACTCCCACTAAATGATATCATGGATTTCTTTACAACTAATGCCAAAGTAAAGGCTTTATTTAAAGTACTAACAGACTATCCACCACTAATTAGATTGGAAAATTGAGTATGGGGTGTGAGTTCTGTCATTGTGTTCATTCCCTCCTTGTCTCCAAATGGGAATTATTTGTTTTCTTTGTGAAGGAGGCTTGATGATGAGGCAATTGTGATGCTAGATCAACTCTGACAACTATTGATGTTTTCCAAAGGTGTTGGCTCACTAGATCCCTATTAGAGTGATTTGATTAGCTTTTCATAAATGGTGGCTAATGAGTTTAGAACGACAAGAATGGTTCTGGATGTTTATGGCAATCAAACTTATGTTAAGAAGTTCCTATTTCCATGTAATATCTTCATGGAGGTCATTAACTACATGTGGGTGCAATAAATAGATGAAGGGACAATGAAGTATCATTTTGAGTTTTAGCATGTTACATGCAGTATATATTGTTGTATTTATGATTTTTATGATTACAAAACACATTTGAGTGATTAATTGGTTTATTTAAGTGTGTAGTTAAAATGTCAATAGATTGCAAAATAAGTAAACTTGGACTGCACTTAAAAATGGACCAGAAAGGCTTGAATATGTGCAAAGAGCCGACTTTGGTGAAACGGAAGTGTAGAAAGTTGGCTTACAAAGGCTGCAGTCGGCTGTGGGAGCGCAAGGAGTTGGCTCTGGAAGTTGCAGCTGGCTCTACGAACAAAAATTTGAAGATTGTTGTTTTGCGTGCGGAGAAAAGATGCAAAGCCGGCTCTAACCTTGCAACTAGCTACAATGGCGCATTTAATGCACAACGGTTGACTTATTTGAAGATTAATTAATCTTTTTAAAGTCAGAATACCAAAGCTGGCTTTAAGTTTTGTAGCCTATTGTGCAAGAAAACAGAATGTGCAGTAAACCCATAAAGTTAGCTTTGTGGTTTATAGTCGGCTCTACGAAGAAAACAGAATGTGTAGGATCCCGCAAAGGTGGCTACAAAAATGGTAAGTTAGCTATACAGAGCCAACTCTAAAATGTAAGCCAGCTATGCTGACCATTTTGCAACTCGAATTAAGCGACCTGTAGAGCATTAAATGACCCCCAACGGCTGGTAATGGTTATTTTCAACCATGAGGTTATAAATATGGTTGGTAGAAGATCTGGAAGAAGTTTAGAGAACATTGTATTGAATATCTCTATCTACCAACTTGTGCTTTAACTTGAGTATTTGATCTTTGAGAGATCTTTATGGTAATCCTCTTCTTGTTCTATTTGTGAGTGATCTTGAGGGGGTGATTGTTCCTTCAAGAGTGATTTGTAGAGAGGATTGTTTGGGTTTATCTTGTAAAAGGGTGAGATTTAAGAGAAATATCAATTTTCTTGTAAAAGGATTGAGTGGCTCCTTTAAGCCATCCTTAATTTTGTTAGTGGAGAGTGTGGAGGAAATCCTTGGTGAGTGAAGCCAAGGTAGAGGACTGGGTTCCAAGTGGTTGGACCGAACATCTATAAAATCATTATATAAGCTCTTTTTCCCTACTCTCTCTTTGATTTTTTTTTTTTTTTGTGGTTGTAAAGAAGTGAATATTTTTCAACTCCAATTCACCCTCCCTCTTGAAGTACATTGAGCCAACATATGTACATGTTAGGAGGACGAAAATGATGTGAACAATGAGTTGTTTGTGCATGTTGTTGTACTGTTGAATGTAAGAGGATCATTAAGAGCTCATATTTAGGAAGCAATCAACTTTCTCCACCATCAAACCATACTGAATATCATGATAATTTTCAACACTACTGTGTCTAAAGACCAAATAATTGGCATAGGAAATGATCAAATCATGTATGATGAAGTTTTTACAGCTCCTACATTTAACAAGGTGAGAGGGATGATGTGTCAATGGATCAAAAGTAGGGTTAATGTTGCATGTGTGAATTCAAGTACAAAAAAGGTATCATATATCTCAGTTTCAATCACTCCAAAAAGGTATCTAGGGTTGTGTACAATGTTGTTGATTCTATGTCGTACTGGTTGATACAGTTGGTATGTACCAGTTTTTTCATTAATTTGAAATGGTTCAAGATTCAATTCTGTTTCAATCAAATTTCACATATTTTGGTCAAATTTTGGTGTACCGACTAGTATTTTGGCGTATCGATCGATACATCGAAAATTGGTTGGTACAAATCAATTCAAATTTAGAAAGGGTAAATTTCATTTTTGGTCCTCAACTTTAATGTTTTGCATAATTTTCATCCTTTAACTTTTTTATGCACTTTTTAGTCTATCAACTATGAAAAATGCATTTTTTTAGTCCCTCTATTAGTTACTCCATTAAGTTTGTCTAAATATATACATTTTTAGTCTTTTAACTTAAAGTGGAGGTACACAAAAAATGCATATATTAAAAGTTAATGGATTAAAAATATGTATTTTTAGTCCCTTTTGACAATTTCATATTAGACTTCTAGTTCTCAGTGTTCACCGGTTGTTGCTTTCTCTTCTAAGTAATGTTTTGGTTTGTTTTTTACATTTTTGTTATACTTTGAAAACATGATTTCTTCCTTTGTGGAAGTAATTTGTATTGCAAATCGTATGATATTAAACTGAGAATACTGTATACTTTCTAATATTATCTTAACATTCAAAAAAAGAAAAAAAAGAAAAATATTATGGATGTTTTATAAAATCGGCCATTTTAAACTTGTTTTCAATATATGATAAAGTTCCTTTGAGACAACAATGGCGATTAACTGGCTGGGCTTCATACATATTCTTTGGAGGTGTTCCTTTCCACTTCTGTTGTATCGTTGGTGATCAGCACCATTTCAATCTTGTTGTAGTTGTTTTGGAGAAATGGAGGTCGTGGAAGGGCGATTGATATGGTTTCACCAAATTGGGATGACTAACTGTTGGAATTTATAGAATTTGGAGAAATGGAGGTTAAGGAAGGGTGATTGACATGGTTTCATCAAATTGGGACAAGTAAGTTTTGAAATCTGTAGAACTTGGAGGGA